GACCACTACTTTTCATCTTGTTTATCAACGATTTGCCAAATGCATCAAACTACTTTGATTATGTTTGTTTCGCAGATGACACCAACATTTTTGGTAGCGGAACTAACATCGATGGTGTTATTGACCGAACAAATGTTGAATTAAAAAACGTCGTCAAATGGTTCAACGACAATAAATTAGCACTGAATACTTCAAAAACCCAAATGATCGTCTTCGGTCCAGTGCAGTGTTTAAACTATAAAGAACCGTTCAAAATCACAATTAACAATCAACAAATTGTCGAGAGCAAAATAGTAAAATTTTTGGGTGTCCTCTTAGATCGGAAACTAACGTTTAAACCCCACGTCAATTACATTTACAAGTTGGCCAGATCAATAGGAATAATAAATAGGATAAAGTTTTATCTCCCAAAAAAATGTTTAAATCTTCTTTATAACGCCATCTGTCTGCCCCATGTATCATACTGCAACGTCATTTGGGCCAGTGCTTACCCATCAACTACCATGTCTGTAAAAGTTCTGATGAAAAGAGCAATGAGGATCATCACGCTTTCTCGAAAAGATGCTCACACACCTCAACTGTTCAAATTAACTAATAATTTAGATTTTGATAAATTAAATTTATATTTTACAGCCAATTTTGTATATAAACAACTATCAAACAAACTTCCTTCTATTTTCAATAATTATTTTATTCCGATATATAATTCCAGACGTCAATATAATATATTAGCAAATAAATCAAAAACATTCATACTTTTTTCTCATATCATTTGTAAAGGGCCAAGAATTTGGAATGCTATTTTAAAACATGGTTTTCCATTCAATAAAATTAATGAAGCAAATTTTAAAAATAAATTGAAAATTTATTTGTTGAATAATGACATTGAATGCTAACTGTTGCTGATCGCTAAACGAGCGGATGTATTTGTACAATTTTTATTTATTTATTTTATTATCTATCGCTTTAAATTCTAATTATTATATTGATTTCTTGATTGAGGAATTGGTTGATTGCTTTATTGATTGATCTCATTGGAAAAGTCGCATTTAATTTACTCACTTGAAAAAATCCCCAGACATCAGTATATAGTTTCTATGTATTTAATTACTGTGAGATCTACAATTCATGTCGTTCTATATGTTGCTTAAATATATAGATAACTATGTAATGTCTATCCCGTGTTTTTCTGGATAGATACCAAACATTGTTATACATAAACCGTGAACCATCGTACTAACAACTAACACCTGTTTTGCTAACATAGTTGAGTTCGTTAACTTACTAACAACTAACATCTAACATGCCACTCATAGATCATTTGGGGAAAATTTTTATTATTTGCTGAAAAACTTTTGTACGAACATAGAACATTTCTGTTTAGGTGGCCATACTAGATGAATTTTTTTTATAAATTCTATTATGGTCATCCTGCT